GACTCTACAGTGAGACAGTCTGTGTGTCTCTGACTCTACAGTGAGACGGGTGGTGTGTCCGCAGCTCCTCCCCGCACATAACTTTGCTCTCTTGTCCCGCAGTTTGCGGGTTTTCTGAAGTTGTTACTGGTTCTTTGCACTGGTCTATTCCTGTCTCCCGCTCGTGTTCTGGAGTCAATGCGCTGTTTTTCTCTCACGCGCGTCTTTCTCGTCGAGTTCTCGCGCAACTGTTGCGCTTTTGAGACACGTGATCGAGCCGCGATCAGTAAAGAGCTCGTGTAGTGCGTGGACTGACAGCTGGTCCATCCCTCCGGGGTGAAGGAGGGTCCGGAGCCGACTGAGCGCCGCCCCGAACCGCTTTGAACTTTCTCACACTTTGTTCCGAGGAGCCGAACCTGGTGGTCCTGCGGACCAGAACAACATGTTCGTGTTGCTGTCGGCCGCGGCCGGCCTGCTGGGCCTGCTCCTCTCCTACATCTGGACTTTCTGTCCTCACTTCTGGGAGGACTGCGCCTACATCCTGAGGAGCCTCACACTGGGCTCCAGGCTGCTCCGGTACCAGAGGTCCAAACCCTTCTACAGCATCGTGGACTGCTTCCTGGACGCGGTGAGGAGGAGCCCGGACAAAGTCTTCATCCACTTCGAGGGTCGAGCTTACTCCTACTCGGAGGTGGACCGGAGGAGCAACCAGGTGGCCCGGACCCTGCAGGCTGAAGCCCGGCTGGAGGAGGGGGACACCGTGGCCCTGTTCCTGTCCAACGAGCCCACCTACGTGTGGACCTGGCTCGGTTTGGCCAAACTGGGCTGCCCGGCTGCCCTGCTCAACTTTAACATCCGGTCCAAATCTCTGCTGCACTGCTTCTCCTGCTGCGGGTCCAAAGTCATCATCGCCTCCCCAGGTCAGACTAAAACCAGTTAATCTGTCAGGGTGACAGGAGAACACCCACCAAAGACCTGATCAGGTCCAGAGTCCAGTCACCTGTCAGGTTCTGTTGTGTAACACATGAGCTGTGGCAGCGTTATGCACCTGGATTAATGCAGTTTATTTAAAATAAGTGTTTCTGTTTTAGTCCAGATTACAACCAGTAAAGAAACAGTTGGGACTTAGTGTAAAATGTAACTAAAGACTGTGCAATGATGTGAACATCTCACTAACACATAAAGGGGTCAAAAACAAGTTGAACATTTAAAGCAGGTTGGTATAAACAAGAAACACGTGGAGGAGCATTTAGTTTCAGATTAAACTAATCTGCAACAAGTCAGAGGACGTTAGAAGCTGAATCTCAGAAGTAAAGATGAGCAGAGGTTCAGTGGAAATCTCTAAAAAAGTGGAACAGTTGTTTGTTGTTTATTTGTCGTATGCAGGTTAACACAAAGTAATGTGATCAGGATGAGATTTGACTCGCTACAAACAAAAACTAAAGTTTCAGATTAACCCTCAGCAGAGCACCAGGAAGACTTTGACATCATGAACTGGTGGACGATCAGAGGTTTCAAGCATCCGGAGAGATTGAGCTCAAAGGACAAAAGTCCGTGACCTTTGGTTCTTCAGACGGCACAGCACCAGAAACCGGTCCGGTTCTGTGAGGAACATCACTGCATGCCACCTCCACAGATCACTGTAAACAGTTCACTGTGTAAAGCTCTATCACGCAAAGAAGAAGCCAAATGTGAACACAGCTCAGAAACGCAGCCGACTTGTCTGGACCGAAACCAGTTTAACCAGAGCAAACTGTTCTGTGGTCAGATACACTGAAAGGATCACATCCTCTGTACTGAAGAGGAGAGGCACCATGGTCTGTTATTAGTGCAGAGTTCAAAAGTCTGCCTCACTGATGGTATAGGGGTACATTAATGCCTATGACATGGACAGCTTACACATCTGGAAAGGCTCCATGAGTGCAGCAGGATTTAAGCACAGCGCTCCCATCCAGACGTCTCAAAGTGTCCACACTTTGTTGAGGTGCGTTAGTGCCATCAAGTTCAAAACGAGCTCGTTTCAGTGCGTCACATGAGTGAACATGTGAGTTTACAAGCTTTGCACATCATTGCAAACTGTTTTTATTTACATTTTATTCATCATCCCAACTTTTATTTGTTTTTTGGAATTAGATTTTGTTTAAAACGATCAGTTTACCTAAAATCATTTCAGTTAGAAATGTGTAATAATTAAAAATCAAAGGGCTGTCGTGCAGTTTGCTGTTAAACTTTATGATTTGAATAATCCAGTTTGATAAAGCTCGGGTCAGAGTGCCGACCCCGCTCTGAGGTCCAGACAGATTTCAGTTCCAGCTGATGTTTTCACCTCGCAGAGTTCTGAGACGTTGTGTTCTCCTAAACTTTTCTCTGGGAGCATCGAGGCAGGTCAGGGGTCAGAGGTCAGGTGAGGGTCAAAGACCAGATACTGATGCAGTCCCTGAGTCTTCAGGCTGTTTCTTTGAGGACGTTTGCAACAAACCTGGTGTTGGTCAGCATCAACGTGCACCTCTCCTCGTGATGTTTGGGGCTTTATATATTTGACCAACACTGAGCTGTGGTGGGACTGGTCTCCTGCAGCTGAACACTGGGACACGGTGAACCTAATAATCAGTTCTCTCCTTCAGACAGACATAAACCTAAAGTCTGATCATGTAATTTATTCTGCGCCGGGTTTGAAGAGTTCAGGGTCAAAAAGGTGAAACGTGAATCATTTTACTCTTCGTTTGTTTAAAACCACGTAGAGGAAACGTTTCTGTCATTTAAACCCTCGTCGGGCTGAACGTGGACATGTTAACAAAATATCTTCTATCAAGCCACGAGATTCTTCTTATCCCTCGTTTATTTAACTGTGGACGTCACCATGACTGAAAAGTTTCATTACGCTGCTCCAGTTCTTTACTGGGAACCTCTCAGACCAGGTGTTGGTGCACCAGCGGGGTCTGGTGACATCATGCAGGCCGACACGTGCAGAGTTGCGTAACGCTGCTCTCTAGCTGATGCTCTGTTTCTGTGGAGCTGAACCCTCCTCTGTGCTTCCAGAGCTGCAGGCTGCGGTGGAGGAGGTGCTGCCGACGCTGAGGGAGCAGGGGATCAGCGTGTACCTCCTGTCGGACCGCTGCAGCACGCCGGGCATCAACCCTCTGTCCGACAAGATCTCCGAGGCCTCGGATGAGCCGCTGTCCCTGGACCTGCGGGCCGACATCCACCACAGGAGCACCGCTCTGTACATCTACACGTCCGGAACCACAGGTAGGGTCAAAGAACCGAACGAGACCGAAGAGCAACGCTGGGGCCTTTTAAGCAAAGAGGCTTTTGAATTATTATTCCCTCTGCAGCGGCTCTGTCAGGCTTTGACCAAAACTGGCATAAAACTGAATTTTATTGGTTGTTATAACAACAACTAAAAGTTTTAGTAGTTTTCTTGTAATTAATTTTGTAAATACATGAATACTAGAAACTAGGGGTGCACCGATGGCAGTTTTCTGGCCAATCACCGATTTCTTTAAAGTCTGACCTGTCAATTCAGATTTTGGCCGATACGATTTTGTTTTATAAGCAACAGTCAGGAGTTATAACGTCACAATGCACCTTCAATTTTCTAATATTATTTTATTGAAAAACATGCCTTGAACAATATCCTGGAAACAATACAAACTTGTTTTAACTGGCCATGAGGTAGTGCTCTGAAATATAAATGAAGTTTAAACAATTGTTGTTAAAACTTAAAAATCAGTAAAATCAGTTTCTCATGCAAGTATCGGCCGATTTCCGATTTCTCAAAATTAAGGAAATCGGGGCTGATTTATCGGTGCACCCCTACTAGAAACATTACAAGGAGTAAAACGCTGGTGAAGCTTCTCAGTCATGTGGTAAATTCAAAAAGGTTCAATACAAAAACAACTGGACTTTATTTGTAACAGAAGACGTTTCGCTCCTCATCCAAGCAGCTTTCTCAATTCAAACAGCAGTGAGTGAGGGGTTCGGGTCATAAGGCTGAGTGAAATAAGATACACATACATATGCAGATTGACAAATCACACCTCACACCTTAACAGTAGGGGTTTCTTAAGGTCTTTGTTTCTCTAATTCACAGATGAGGCCCCTCTGTTCCCATCAGGTGCGAAAACTGGCTGGGAATCTGTCTTAAAGTTGCATTATATGTTTTTGAAAGTGGAAATCTGAGGCCTCCTCTTCTGTGAAGAGACGGTTTTTCCTCTTTTTACATAAATTGCTTCCTTCACCCCCCTCTCAAACCATCTGTGTTCTCGGTCCAAAATGTGCACATTTTGGTCCTCAACAGTGTCCCTTATCTGTGAGGTGGAGGTGAACTGCTGAGTCTTGTTTTTTCTTGTTTGTGAATTTACAAGGAGTAAAACGTACTCACTTTCACTTTATACTTTATTTCTTCAAAGTAGAATACGTAATTTTTCTACAGTTAAAAAAAATCTCATAAGAATGCATAGTTTATTTAGTTTTTAGAAACTGGGCAAAAACTATATTATTTTTCCTTCTTTACAAGAATCCCGACTTTTATTTTGTCTTGGAGTATAAAAAGTTAAAAACCATTAGATATTTTTAGTTTTATAAAATCACCCCAGTCCAGAAAAGCGCCCTCCAACAAACTTAAAGTGGTCCGTGGGCCACCAGTTGAGAATCCCAGTTGCGGCAGGTATTGTGGCTCTGGACACATTTAATTTAGTGAACGAAAGGGCAGAAATGGCTCTTTTGATCCTAAAGGTTGCAGACCCTGCTGTAGACGGTCTTTTTGTCACAGACGTTTCAAACTCCAAGTGAACCACAGAGGATAAATCCTGAAGTCTTCCACTTATCACGTTACACACAGAGTCAGCACAGCACGGCTCTCAGGGTGGATGTTTATTTCCAGTTGGCGGAAGAAGCTCTGGGGCCTCATGTGTCAACGGTGCGTACGCACAAAAATGTTGCGTGCGCCAGGTTCCATGCACGTCGGGACGTATCAAAATGATGTTGCGTAAGTGTGTGCAGTAGCTCCGAGTACGTTAAAAAAACAGTCTGTCGCTGCAGATTGTGCTGTAAGGACGGCATGTTCAACTGCATTGTGGGGAATTTGATCTACCTGCTCGACATACGGATCATTCCACCTGTCACAGAGAACTCTGTGTCTTACCTTAAATATAAAGTCATATCATGTGCCTGTCTGAACAGTGGGAAAATATTAATGTTGAACTATGCATCCCGTTCTACAAAAATGTAACAGAGACATGTCATGATTGATATCTTGTCTAACTGGTCCAGGTTTAATCTAAATAGAACAGGAGTAAATAAGACCAGTTATCAAAGAACACAGCACAGTTCCTTTCTGACCCATTTTGCTTGGTTCTTATCACATGAAGGAGAGCTGTAAAGCTGGATCGAACTTCTTGTCTTACACACTTCCTCCGCAGGCTGTGTGAAGCATCCTGTGTGACGTCTGTTTATTGGAACAAACAAATTCAAAGACCATTTCTGAAGACATCTTTTATTTCACCTGTTTCTGTGTTGAGACAAGTTAGAGTTGGAAAATCCACCATACGTCCCACACAGCTGGCGTGGCTCGACTCAGGGTCCGCTGGCACAGTCCTGATGGGTCTGCCAGCTCCGTCTGGATTGACCCTGTTGATAGGAACCCCAGTGTGGTCAGCATGTATGTGCACGGGCAGCGCACAGCTCCTCGCTGTGTAGCGCTCTAAGACTGGCCACGGTTCCAAAAGGATCGGCCTTAAAAGCCTAAAACATCTGATGAGCCAGTCGTCGTCGTGGACCAGAAAATCCCCTCTCTCCCTTTGTGTATTTCTCCATTTGCTGTATCCTCTAATAACACTAAAGCTGTTGTTGTTGAAGGTATTCTCTCCACCACTTGTGCAGCTTTTATATCCACTGATCTAGTTTCATACAGGTGGATGTTTTCAGTGTTCATCATGGGTGTACAATAATACACTGCCTGGCCAAAAAAAAAGGTCACACACTAATATTTTGTTGGACCTCCTTTAGCTTTGATTACATCATACATTCACTGTGTCATTGTTTCAATAAGCTTCTACAATGTCACAAGATGTATTTCCATCCAGTGTTGCATCAATTTTTCACCAAGATCTTACATTGATGACTAGGCACTAGGCATGATGGGTGCATCACTTCACCTGCCTCTCTTCTTATCCTGATGCCTCCATCACTCTGGAACAGGGTAAATCTGGACTCATCAGACCACATGACCTTCTTCCATTGCTCCAGAGTCCAATCTTTATGATCCCTAGCAAATTGAAGCCTTTTTTTTCCAGTTAGCCTCACTGATTAGTGGTTTTCTTAAGGCTACACAACTGTTCAGTCCCAATCCCTTGAGTTCCCTTCACATTGTGCATGTGGAAATGCTCTTACTTTACTATTAAACATAGCCCTGAGTGCTACTGTTGTTTTTCTTCCATTTGATTTCACCAAATGTTTAAGTGATCATCAATCACGATCATTCAGGATTTTTTTCCGCGACATTTCATCCTCAAAGACGATGGGTCCTCACTATCCTTCCAGTTTTTAATAATGCGTTGGACAGTTCTTAACCCAATTGTAGTAGTTTCTGCAATCTCCTTAGATGTTTTATTTGCTTGATGCCAATGATTTGACCCTTCTCAAACAGACTGACATCTTTTCCACGACCACGCGATGTGTCTTTCAACATGTTGTTTAAGAAACGAGAAGCAACTCATTGCACCAGTTGGGATTAAATAACTTGTTGGCAGCTGAAAGATAATCGTCCATGAAGTAATTATCCAATAGGAGGCTTGTACCTACAAACCGGATTCCAAAAAAGTTGGGACACTAAACAAATTGTGAATAAAAACTGAATGCAATGATGTGGAGGTGCCAACATCTAATATTTTATTCAGAATAGAACACAAATCAGATCAAAAGTTTAAACTGAGAGAATGTATCATTTTAAGGGAAAAATCTGTTGTTTCCAAATTTCATGGCGTCAAAAAAACCAAAAAAGTTGGGACAAGTCCATTTTTACCACTGTGTGGCATCCCCCCTTCTTCTTACAACACTCAACAGACGTCTGGGGACAGAGGAGACCAGTTTCTCAAGTTTAGAAATAGGAATGCTCTCCCATTCATGTCTAATACAGGCCTCTAACTGTTCAATCGTCTTGGGCCTTCTTTGTCGCACCTTCCTCTTTACGATGCACCAAATGTTCTCTATAGGTGAAAGATCTGGACTGCAGGCTGGCCATTTCAGTACCCGGATCCTTCTCCTACGTAGCCATGATGTTGTGATTGCTGCAGAATGTGGTCTGACATTATTGTGTTGAAAAATGCAGGGTCTTCCCTGAAAGAGATGACGTCTAGATGGGAGCATATGTTGTTCTAGAACCTGAACATAGTTCTCTGCATTAATGGTGCCTTTCCAGACATGCAAGCTGCCCATGCCACAAGCGCTCATGCAACCCCATACCATCAGTGATGCAGGCTTCTGAACGGAGCGTTGATAACAACTTGGGCTATCCTTGTCCTCTCTGGTCCGGATGACATGGCGTCCCAGTATGTAGAGTAGAGTTTCAGCTGGCAACGGCAGATGGCACGGTGGATTGTGTTCACTGACAATGCTTTCTGGAAGTATTCCTGAGCCCACTCTGTTATTTCCTTGACAGTGGCATTCCTGTTTGAGGTGCAGTGATGTTTAAGGGCCCGGAGATCACGAGCATCCAGTAGAGTTTTACGGCCTTGACCCTTACGCACTGCGATTGTTCCAGATTCTCTGAATCTTTTGATGATGTTATGCACGGTTGATGATGATAACTTAAAAGTTTTTGCTATTTTACGCTGGGTAACACCATTCTGGTATTGCTGCACTATCTTTCTGCGCAACAATGGTGGAATTGGTGATCCTCTTACCATCTTGGCTTCTGAGAGACACTGACACTCTGAGAAGCTCTTTTTATACCCAATCATGTTGTCAATTGACCTAATTAGTATTAATTGGTCTTCCAGCTGTTCGTTATATGCTCAATTTCCTTTTTCCAGCCACTTATTGCTACTTGTCCCAACTTTTTTGGGATTTGTTGACACTGTGAAATTTTGAATCAACATATTTTTCCTTTAAAATGTTACATTTACTCAGATTAAACTTTTGATCTGTCATCTATGTTATATTACAAATAAACCACATCATTGCATTCAGTTTTTATTCACAATTTGTTTAGTGTCCCAACTTTTTTGGAATCCGGTTTGTATTTGCTTAGTTAAGTCCAGGTGGCGACTTTTTTATTTTGGCCAGGCAGTGTATTTTCATATCATTAACAGTTTCCTAGCATCACCTCTGTCTCCATTGGACCAGTAACCATAGAAGCGTGCGTACTCCAGCCATGAAGCTGGCGTGGAGTTGCACACATTTCCACGGTCATTCCATTCTTGATATATCTGAAGTTTTGCGTGAAAAAGGGCGTATGCCACGTTCTTGTACATGCACCTTTTGTACATGAGGCCCGTAGTCCTCACAGCCATGGCTGCCCACGGGAGATACGCTCTTTCCTGTTTAGCACAGCCACAGAGAACAGAGAACCACTGCAGCCACTTTACATAAACTAAAGCTCCCTTGAAGTTCTGACTAATCACACTCTTGTCATATAACCTGTTAAAAACTAGTTCTGACTGAGGACAATGCACAAGACTGTCAGCGGGAGGTAAGAGAAGAAAACATCGCAATTTTTGTTGCGCACCCACGTCAGTGAGACACAACACCGGCCCTTCTCATGAACTATAAGTCAGCCTGAAGTCTCCTCGTGTGTGTGCACGTTACAGAACATCTCAGCACGGTGTCTGTAGATCTGTGGAACAGCGATGTTCTGCAGTACGAGTTTATAGATGAGATACATAAATCCTGGAACTACATGTTTTCTTTTATTCTGATAGTACATTATCTAGACTGACCCTGGGTTTCTGATCTGCTCAGAGATGGAATTATAATGAAATTATGACCCGGTTCTGACTGGGTTAAACAGGGCCAGCAACTCTGGAGTCTCCCAGGGATTCAATATCCATCAAGGAATAGAGTTCATTTTGCTTGCTGCATCACAGAAAAGCTTTTAAGCACCGTCTCATTTTTTCCTTTCACGTTAACTCACATACGTTTCAAAAGAGACCACACTTAGTCCCTCCTCTCATACACTGGTAGGTTGTGCTCCACTTCTGCGAAGGAGGAGTCCAGGCCCTATAAATCTGTAATGACACGGGACATCTGGGCCTTCCGGTTTCTGATCTCGCGTCGGGTACCGGAACCAGCCTGCGCTGTTACTGTAACCTTCTCCTGCCTTGATTTAATACAACTGGTAAAACTGAATTCACATTTCCTTGATTTATTGATAGTGTGAGTTGCTGCTTCTGAGGGAGGTCCGAGCCAGGGAACAGCGTGGGCTGGAGGCGGATCTGGGTCTGAGAGGAGGCCTGAGGCCCACAGCAACATCTGGCTGCAGTGACCCGGGACCCGCATCCACCTCCCGTCGCAACAATTCTGATGTTTACTTTCTGAAAGTAAATGTGAGAAATGACAAAAGAACAGCTTAGACAAAATAAAGTTCATAAGGAAGGACTGAAATTAGCTTGAAGAAATAAAATCCTAAATTTGAGTTTTTATTTATTTGTTTTTAAACACGGTCTAAACTTCAGCTTTTTTACTCCCAGTTTAATAAAGTGCTTGTTTTTATAACTTCCAAATTCATCTCTACAATAAAAATGTGTTTTTAAAGTTTAGGACTACTATTATTTCAAAAGTACAATGTCTTACAAACATTTTTGTTTTTGATTTAGGATTTTATTTGTGATTTTTGTCACTGAGCTTTTTTAAAAAAAAAATAATTACACAAAATTATCACAAATTTTCCCATAATCCTAATTTTTTTCTAACATATTTCTTAGATTGATTAAAGTTTTCTTCTGGTTCAGCTCAGTTCAGTCCAGGGTTTTACCATCAACACCAGTTTTGCTTAAAAATGTAAAAATGACAAAAATAAAGGAGACTATAGAAAAACATCAACGCTCTGTGAAAAGGCAAATGCTCCATAAATAAATGTCTTTCATAAACCAACAGCAGGCCTCTTTAAAACAAACCAAGAGCAGCTCCAGATGTTTGTTACTTATTTTGAGTCTGTATTTTTCAGCAGAAATGACAAATGAGCTTTGTGTGAAATGTGCTCTCATTAAAAAAAAAAAAAAAAAAAGTTTTAATCAGTCACTATTCTCAACATCAGCCTTGATCTCCAGACAAACACATCTGTGTGACTCAGCAAGGTTTTATTTTGAAATCTAAGTCCAATCACTCAAAAGCTCGTTCCTGTCCTGCAGCTCTACCAGAGGTTTGTGCGCGAGCGGCTGATCGTGGACCGAAACACAAACTCGTACCTGTTCGTGCTGCATGTTTAACCAAACATTCTAATCTGATCATTTCTGGCTCTTTAGCTGCTCAATCCTTCGTGATGCTCACCAGCTAGTTGTTGTTTTAAAGCAGCTGGCCGTGTGAGCAGGTTTACAGGCAGCGATAATGTCACCCGTTGTTCACGAATCAGTGTGTGTCTGTGAAAAGTTTTCACCCCCTTCCAGATTTCTGTTCGTCGTGCTTTGGCCACATTTGCATGATTCAGATCATCAAACAAATCAAAGGTAATCTGAGTAAATCTAACATTCAGTTTTGTGTGAAAGAGTAAAACGTAAACCTGATAACTCTCGTGCCAGCCTCCACGGGAACGACTGCGTTCAAGTCTGCTCATGAGTTCTTCACCCGGCCGTGGAGGAGTTTGGCTGCTGTTTCAGATCGTTCTGTTGCAGAACCCAAGGGTTCTTCAACAGTCACCAACAGATGTTCTCCTTTAGGATTTTCTTCTAAAGAGCAGAATTTATGGTTCTGTCAGTTACAGCAAGTCATCCAGATCCTGAAGCAGCTCCTGACCATCACACTACCACCACCATGTTTAACCATATTGAGATCAGAGGCAATGTGTTCAACACAATAGTACTTCTTCCAGTTATTTAACTGTTGATAATGGTGTACCACAAGGCTCAGTCTTAGGACCCACTCTGTTTTCAATCTACACTTGGGTCAGACCATCCCTGATGCATCCTTACATTTATATGCTGACAACACAGTTGTTTAGTGTCAAGCTTAATCAATGGCTAATGTTTTCCAGCTTTTACAGTCTGCATTCAGTATAATTCAGTCAGACTTGTTCTGTCTCAAACTGGTGCTAAATACTGATAAAACCAAAGGGATGTTGTTTTCATACAGGAAGTTGGTGTCAACAGTTCTTCCTTCTATCTTTTCTACAAATGGTGCTCTTATTGAGTTTGTCAATTCCTACAAACACTTGGGAATCTTGGTCAATGCACATCTCTCTTTTAACCTCTATGTTGAAAACTTGATAAAGAAACTGAAAGTTAAACTGGGTTTATTTTTCAGAAACAGATCCTGTCTAACTCTGAACACTAGGAAACACCTTGTATCTGTGACTTTCCTTCCCTCCATTGATTACGGTGACATCATTTACATGTACGCTCCTATAAGAACCCTGCAGATGTTGGATGCTGTCTATCATGGTGCACTAAGATTCATAACTGGCTGTGATTATCATACCCACCACTGCACCCTGTATTCATTGGTTAACTGGACATCATTAACTTCACGCAGACTCTCTCACTGGTACATTTTCATCTTTAAATCACTTCTTGGTCTGCTGCCTTCATACATCTCCTCCTACATGTCTCTGCGTGAGTGCAGCTACAGCGTGCGCTCTCAGGACATTATTACCTGCAGTGTTCCCTCAGTGAGGACTGAACTAGGCAAAAGGACCTTCTCCTGCTCCGCTCCTGTTTCCTGGAATATCTTACAAAAAGACCTGAAGCTCTCGACCTCTCTAAGGGATTTTAAGCAATTGTTAAGTTCAATGCAAAAATCAATGCAGACATGTATTGATTTAGTATTTTACCCCGTTTCATAATGTAGCTTGTTTTTATTTTGTTTCATATCACTACTTTTATTTACTTTTCATTTCATATGCATTTTATGACTGTTTATTGTTGTCTGTATCTTATCTGTGTTTTAAACAAACAGGTCTCTCTTGTAAATGAGTCCTCGACTCAATGAGACTAACCTGTAGAAATAAAGGTTGAATTAATGTTTTTCTGTCAATATGATGATCTTTTTTCTGAAAGTTAGTTTTAGTTGGAGGCCTGTGGTGGTGGTCTGGGTTCTTTTGGGCCTCCTGGGTGAGTCTTCGATGCTCTCATGGAGACACTTATATGAAGGTTCACCACTGTTCTTATCTTAGTCTTGTTGGTAATGTATCTATTTAAACTATTTCCTGGTTCCTCGGGTCCGGTAATGATCAGAACGGGTCAAACTGAACTTGGTTTCCAAAACAAACACAAAGAGCTCTTAATTCACGATTTAACAAAAGGAGACAGGCCTCGGTTGGTTTGTAGAACTTTTTGTCTCAGTAAATGAAATAATTTAAAAACTGCACTTTGTATTTACTCAGATTATTTTATATTTCAGTTAATTTGTTGATCTGAACCATTGGAATGTGACAAAAAGGACAAAATCATGGGAACTCAGTAGCGGGGTCACACCTGCAGAGGAGGGCCGGGCTTCAGGGAGATTTGTTTCTGCGTTCCTCGTTCATTCTCCGTTGTGTGTCTGAAAGGTTTGCCCAAAGCGGCCGTGATCACCCATGAGAAAATGTGGGCCGCCTCCTTCGTCCAGGCGGCGTGTGGAGTCACAGCGGAGGACACCTTCTACATCAACCTCCCTCTCTACCACAGCGCCGGCTTCCTCATCGGGATGATCGGATCCATCGAGAGAGGTGCTTTATTAACTTTGTTTCAAACCCACGGGTCCACATCGTATATAAAAACTAAACAAAGTACAGCACATGAGAGAGGCTACGCATGTACACGTTACATTTATGAAAGAAAACAGCTGATCTGGCACATACTGTGCGTCTGTTAGCAAAATATCTCACAAACTGGACGAATTTTATTGAAGCTTTCAGGAAATAATCACTGGGTGTTCTCCACAAATGATTAACGTTTGAAGACAGTCCAATTCAAGATGGCTGCCAGAGCCGGTCAAATTCATTCAACACATAAATGGCTATAACTTAGTCAGACTTACAAATATTGAGCTAAAGCATGACGTGGTAGTAGCTGAGGGTTGTTACCATCACATGCTCTGAGTGTGACATCTCACCTTCTTGCATGAGATTGTGCAGGACAGTATTTTTAAAGTTTGACTCAAAAAGCTACAAGTCTGGCGTGCAAGGCAGTGGGCAGTATCCTTCAACAAAATGTTTTAATTTTTATTAATTACCGTAATTTCTGGACTATTGAGCGCACCTAAATATAAGCCGCACTACAAAATAAATTAAAAAAATTATTGTACATATACTGTATAGGCTGCACTTGTGTATAAGCCGTGGGTGTCCACGTTCTAACATGAGATAGTTAAATATTTTTTAAACTTTTAATGTGTACTGTAACGTACACAAATACGTACAGTAAATGTTTTTTTGTCTGAACAGTGTAACACGGCTGATAAATAAATACAGTAGCCTACCAGGAAGTCTTCACCTTCCTCCTGCGCACAGAGCTTGTACTGTCCTCTTCATCACTTTTTCTCCCTCCCTGGGGGCACAACAGGTGTCTCTTCCCCCCCCAGTGGACCAGTGGATCAATGATCATTCATTGGTCCAGTGTGACCTGTGGGGTAATTTTATTGGTCAGTTTTTCTTTAAAACTTTATTTATTTGGTCTCATCGAGTCATGAGGATTAGGAATGTGTGATACAAACAGTACACGCTAGAAACTATAGACATTTAGCCAATGATAGAGATGTGTCTTCTACCAGCTAACCACAGTAATGCTGTCTGATGTAAAATCAGAGTTGTCAGATTTAACCGTTACTTTTTTTGTTGTTGAAATCTGTGCATAAATGGTGTTAAAGTCTGTTTTCTTTGAGAGCTAAGTAGCGAAGCTACAAGCTAACTGCGGCCGGCTTGCCGTAGTGTTGCCATATTCAGACACGTGCAAAACGCTGTGTTCCATCAAAAGCGTTGGTCAGCTTTAGAGAATGCATGTATGCTAAATAAAAAAGTGTTAACCCTGCTCTCTGATCTGTGAAAAGAATGCAGTGTTGTGTGATTTTACTGCGAGACCCTCTGGTCAAAGACACAGAGGAAACTGGTCGCCATTTTGTGTCAGCTCTCTTTAATTAGAAGGAAACGCCCACTGGAGGAACTCGTCCTTTGCTTTTGTAGCCAAGCCTTCATTTGTCAGAAACTGACCCACTGGACTGGTGGAGGCTGCACCAGGCTCGTTTTCTAAGAATGGCAAGACTGGCCAAGAAATACCTTTGCATTCCAGCCTCGAGTGCTCCTTCAGAAAGGACAGTTAGCATCGGTGGCAACACTGTTTCATGCCACTGGTCTCTGTTAAAGCCAGAGACTGGACAAGCTGGTGTTCATGGCCAACAATGTTTAGACTCTAACAAATGACAGAGAGATTTTGAATTTGAGTTTTGTTAAATGTTTCAGTGTGCACTGTTCATTTCTTAAGTGAGAATACTGGAAACTGTTAAGAGTTAGCAACGTATTGTTTAGTTTAAAACATATGGCTAAAACTACATTTGATATCTTTTTCACTGTTTTGTACTACAAGAAAGAAGCCTAATACTTGATTTAATTATTTAAAAACTCTCTGGACCTAGTAGTGGAATTTTCTTGATTGAGATTATTTTGTGGTATAGCAGTTTTAAAAATAAATGATGGCAAAAGGACACCCTATGCTTTTTTCATTCCTATTGCAAGTTTTATACCAAGAACATGTCATGATAAATATCGTTACCACCACCCATCACAATAGATATTGTGATATGAATTTGATGTCATATCGCACATCCCTAATGAGGATCCACCCCCAAGAGACCACCCCAATAGGGCAGCTGTGTGAGCACCTGGGTGTGATGAGGGTAAATGTTTTGGCAGCATGAAGCTCGTTAGCCTGTCCAAAATTTTTAAAAACTACGGTCAATTAGCTGCAGCATTGTAAAAGCTGCGGTGTTAAAAGCATGTGAAAGAAGTAGAGGCTTATAGTCTGGAAATTACGGTAATAACCTTTCTTGTGAAATTATCTCAGTATTTGACTTTTCTCACCACATCTAACTCGGTGTGCTTAATAAAAAGATGGAGAATTGATCTTCTGATCCTCCCTGGTTGTAGCAACCACAGCGGCGCTCATTAGGATCAGACACAACGTCATGCTGGGCTCTGGAAGTTGCAGAAACTCTTGCTGGGGGTGAAAACTAGTCACTGATGATTCCCGTTAATTCTCACAAACACCTAAAAGAAGACCATGTCTGTGTGACGTTAAGAGCAGGTATCACCGTCGTCCTGAAGAGGAAGTTCTCTGCCTCTCAGTTCTGGGACGACTGCAGGAAGTATGACGTGACGGCCATGCAGTACATCGGGGAGACGCTGCGCTACCTCTGCAACTCGCCCAGGGTAAATACGTGAGCATCAGTGTGCCGCGCCGCCCGTCTGTTGCTGCTGGGACGTTTGCTCAACTGGATCTTCTTGCAGAGAGAAAACGAGAAGAGTCACAAAGTGAGAATCGCCATCGGCAACGGAGTCCGGACCGACGTTTGGACCGAGTTTCTGAATCGGTTTGGGGACATTAAAGTCAGAGAGTTGTACGCCGCCACCGAGGGAAACATCGGTTTCATCAACTACACGTCCAAGGTCGGGGCGGTGGGACGGGTCAACTTTGTCCACAGGGTAAGAACGACACACGTGTGTTTTCAAAACCTGACACTTCCTCGATACATCTCCAACCTCCTTCACCTCCTTCAGACCATCCCAGTCTGCTCTTCGTTCCTCCCACCACACCATCATTTCATTCTTTTACTTCTTGTGTGATCCGTCAGCGCTCAGAGGATGTTAGGGATGACTCTCAGCTACTACCTCATCAACTGTTAGCTAAATATCTGCAAAACTGATCGAGTTATGGACCTTTTTGTGTAGGTTGAAGTGGAGTAGCTGTGGCAGCCATCTTTAATCAGGCTGACTCCAGAGGTTAATCACCCTCACACTCGTTAATTCAGGCTTTCATTTTTCTTCACAAAATATATTTTTATGCAAAGATGGGAAATGAGCGCGTCACAGCTGCGATGAGACAAATCAGATGTTCCAGTCCAAAAAGCAGCTGTTAGAGAAACAACAGTTTCATTTTCTTGTCTCTAACATGAAGCTAAGACTTGTGGGGAATATTTAAGTGTTTGTGTTAAAGTCGGAGTCCCACAGGGCAGCTTCTAAAGCTACTTAGTTATTTGTTTTCTTCATCCCTCCCAGTTTTTCTTTCCCTTCACGCTGATCAAGTTTGACATCGAGAAGGAGGAGCCCGTCAGAAACTCTGAGGGTCTGTGCATCAAAGCAGCCCCAGGTGGGTTCCCGCCCCCCCGGTCTCACCTGGACATGGGAGTGTGTTTAGTTTTACTGTCCGATGCTCTCGTTCTTCACCGTTACAATCTGTGTCGCTCTCCTTTGTGTTGCTCAGGGGAAACGGGGCTTTTAGTGGGAAAGGTTACGCAGAGGTCTCCGTTCGTCGGCTACGCTGGCAACAAGCAGCAAACGGAGAAGAAGAGGCTCCGTGACGTCGTAAAGAAAGGCGACCTGTACTTCAACACCGGCGACCTGCTTCGACTCGACCACAACAACTTTGTGTATTTTCAGGATCGAGTTGGTGACACGTTCAGGCAAGTTGTGACTCGGAGTCGATCTGGTCTTTATCAGGTTCTACAGGGAGTCTAAAACACCATTTATTAAACTAAACTTGATAAAAGCCGGGGGGAGGGGGGTGGGTGGGTTACAGTTTGCTGCTCTGGAGCAGACAGGTGTTAACACGATGTCAAGAAGGAAAGACCTCAGCAATGACCTTAAAGAAGCATTTATCGTTGCCCGTCAATCTGGGAAGGATTCAAGGTCATTTCCAAACTAAAGATTTTAAGAATCCTGCCATTCCTCACAGGAGTGAACGTCCCAGCAAATTCACCCCAAGGTCAGACCGTGCAACACAGAGAACAGCGCTGGTCGGGGATGACGTCACGAGTATTGTGGGAGACCCTGAAAGTTCCATGTGTCCGGCAAACAATGCACCAGGCGGCATGAACAATGGACACCTCCGATGCTTTTGTCCATGTCTGCTGAAACGAAGACGATGTCCCCGCAGCCAAAATGGACCTGGAATATAATGAAGGAAACAATAATACGCAGCACAAGCATCGGCTACAGTGCAGGGAATACTGATAAACTGGTACGTATGAGGATCCTGCTGTTCTCCGTGCTGATCTGGTCTCCATGAAGAAGAGCACAGAGGACAAGATTTCATGCAGGACGCCATCGATTCATCGTACAGGTCTTCGGCTGCAGGCCCGATGAATCATATAGCTGCTTTTATTTGACTGTGTTAGCTGCCGTTAGAATCAGAATCAGTTATTATTGCAATGTCATTGAACGAGGTCACAAACTAGGAATTTGCTTCGACATAAAGGTGTGAATAGTAATAAAGTAAAATAAAGTAAAAATGAAAACATTACATAAGACATAAGACCTGTGTACACCCATAAATAAAGTAAAAATCAAAACATTACATAAGACATGTGTACACCCACAAATAGAAAACAATAAAAAAGCTTAGAGAACAGTACAGATGGAGAATTCAGTTATAATACAGATGTAATGTGACCAAAGCAGAAATTATGAGGTAGCATTATGAGTGTTCAGGAGTCCAACAGCAGAGGGGAAGAAACTGTTCTTATGGCGGGAGGTTCTGGTCCGAATGGACCGAAGCCTCCTGCCTGAGGGGAGTGGTTCAAACAGTCTGTGTGCAGGGTGAGCAGGGTCAGCTGTGATCCGACCTGCTCGCCTCACAGTCCTGGAGACGTACAGGTCGTGGAGGGATGGAAGGCTGCAGCCGATCACCTTCTCAGCTGAGCGCACAACGCGCTGCAGTCTCAGTCTGTCCCTGGCAGTGGCCCCGGCGTACCACACCGTGATGGAGGAGCTGAGGATGGACTCGATGATGGCCGTGTAGAACTGCACCATCAGCTTGGCCGGCAGCTTGGCCGCCTTCAGCTGTCGCAAGATGAGGGAGCTAATGGTTGGCTCCCACTTGAGGTCCTGGGTGATGGTGGTGCCGAGGAACCGATAAGAGTTTGCAGTGGTGATGGGGGTATCATTACAGGTGAGGGGGGCAGAGGGGCTGTGGCGTTCCTGAAATCCACAATCATCTCCACTGTCTTCCAGGCATTGAGTTCCAGGTTGTTGCTGCTGCACCAGGCGGTCCACCTCCCTCCTGTATGCAGACTCATCACCGTCCGAGATGAGCCCGATGAGGGTGGTGTCATCTGCAAACTTAATAAGCTTCACAGAGTCGTGGCTGGAGGTGCAGCAGTTGGTGTACAGGCCGTTAGCTGTTAGTTATTTACTCTAGTTTTCAAAAGTGAAGATGTTCTTTAAAAAATGATAAGCTGTAAGTTTATTGCCACAATCAGTTTTTGGCTTGGAAACAGAAAGTACTTTTTATATTTTTCATATAACGTGTCATATTAAACATGTGGAGTTTAACATGTTGACATGTTCGTGTTTACATTTGTCCGTTGAAGCCAACTCAGCCTCAGAGTCGAATCCAACGATCACATTTCTCTCCAAGTTATCAGCTTTGGAAACTGAATGAACCATAAAACTTAAATATGAAGCTTGTCAGCATATCAGCCGTCAAATCTTCTTAGACACCGTTTTTTATTTTATCTGCTCAAACCACGACTTCAGCGCTGACTATGTTGAACTCAAAGTTCTGTTTGCCTGGAGAACCGGCTACTTTCTGACGTCACTTATTGTGTAGGCAGCTATTTTTAGTATCTCTGACCAGCACTGATAGGCTCCATCTCTGACTCTACAGGCCTCAGTCAGAAGGTTAAAGGTCAAAGTTCATGACAGGACAATCAGACAAAGACTTATTTGGACATGTTGCAGGAGGAAGTCTCTCTAAACAACAAAACGTCCTCTGGGCTGATGGGACCACAGTAGAGACGTTTACCCATAATGCACAGCTCCAAGTAAAACCAAACAGCATAAACACCTCATACCAGCTGTCAGCACGGAGGTGGAGGGCTCATAATCTGGGCTTGTTTTGCAGCCACAGCCCTGGATCACCTCCTCTGTAGACCAGAGGACTCTAGAGTGAAGTTTGGACCAAACGGGTCAAAGATCCTGAAAGGCAGCAGCAAGTGTCCAACAGGACGGCTCAGAAAGAATCAGGATGTTGCCTCGGCCCAAAGTCCAGAACTTCAGCCCGACTGAAACACTGTGATGGGACCTCAGGTGAGCCGAGCAAAAACAACTGAAGCGCGCTGCAAAGAAGAGTGGGCCAAAATTCCTCCACAACCACGAGACTGATAATCCTGCGTAAATGAACCATGGGGTAGTTTTTCACACGGTTTCTGTTTTTGTTTCATAAACAACAACATGGTGGAATCTGTTTAGAACCTGGTAAAGACCAGATCACCTTCTTTACATCCTGATCTCGTATCGGGTTGTATCGCATCACTCATCGTCCTTCACTCGTTTGTTGATCTCAGGTGGAAAGGAGAGAACGTCGCCACGTCGGAGGTCGCAGACGTTCTCACGATGGCTCGCTGCGTCTCCGAAGCGAACGTTTACGGAGTTAAAGTGGAAGGTAAAACGACGACGACTTGTTTCAACGTTACACAGAGCCCTCTGTGCGGGGGGTGGCTAAACCCTGGAGAATAAGTGAGCTCTCTGTGCTGAATGAGCAGGTCACGAGGGGCGCATCGGGATGGCTGCAGTCACTGTAAGAGACGGAGAACACTTCGACTGCGCAGACGTCTACAGGCAGGTCGTCACCTACCTCCCAGTTTACGCACGACCCAGATTCATCAGAACTCAGGTAAAAACTGTCCAACGAGACGCAGTGCAGAACTTTGTGACTGAAAGCACGACGTTTATTCAAAGTGTTTAAAGAGTGTAAAGCTGCAGCAGCAGCTCTGATCTTACTGAGCTGAAAGAAAAGCAGCTTCACCTTTAGTCCTAATCCTGGGACCACCCAGTCCGTCCCAGCTGAAGGCTCTGCAGCATCAATCAGGCCCGAGGCCCCCCCCCCCGTGCCTTATCAACAGGCGGAGGGATTACCAAACCTCTCCTCTGACTCACGGAGAGCGGGCGCAGTGATTTAAGGAGCGCCGTGATGCGTTCCACCGTTCTGAAATTAATAAGGACTGGGGGGGCACAAGATGGCAGCTGTCCCCCATTTGATACATGTTGCTGGGGTTGACGGCCCCCAGCGAGCTTTCTGCTCATTCTTACAGCACCGTACGTCGAGGTGTCAGTAACTCATCAAGTACTGATTATCTGATTGGGTCGTGTTGAGCTGCTCCGCAGAGCTGCGTTTATATTTACTCTGTTGTGTGTGAAAATATACAAGTTCACAGAAAATAGTGCAAAAATAAACTGGAAGTGTATTTTGTGCCAGTTCAACATGTTGCTTTGTCCAGTTCAAGTTAATCCATAAAACAACCAGTTTTGTGGGTTACAGTAGTCCCTCGTTTATTGCAGGGGATCTGTACCCTGAAGCCCCACGATAAGTGGAAGAAAAAGCGAAGTAGGAATAGTAGTACAAGTAGTAAGTAGTAGTTTATTTTAGTAAATATATAAAAAAGGTGTTTTAAACCCTTCCCACACTCTTGCAATAATCTAAACAATATTTCTAAACACTCTAAAAAAAAGAGCACAGCATGTCATGATTTCAGCTCTCTGCCTCCTCTGCTCTTTGCCACCTGCAAGGGCTCTTGGCCACGCCCACTTCTCTGCTCTGCACAGAGAACAGCTGATCAGCTGCAGCAGGAAGTTTATCCTTGCAGTGTGGGCTGTACACAGGTGCAGCAGGTGCTAAATAATTTATTTTAAATAAAAATGTCATGCTGATCATGCGGCTCATCCATCAATCAGCCAAATGTGTGTCATGTCCACTCTTATTTTGAAAAACCGTGACAAATCCAATAAATGAACCACGATGTAGCGAAGGACTACTGTAGACTAAATAAAGCTGCATTTACGTCTCGTTTTTCTGCTTTCTTCCTGAATTTAAATGGGTTTGCTCAGAGGCTGACTGGAACCTTTTTGTTCTGCAGCCCTGCCTGGAGATGACGGGAACATTCAAGATGAAGAAAGTGAAGCTGGTGGAGGAGGGATTCAACCCGGCGCTCATCCAGGATCCGTTATACTTCCTAGACTCTGACAAGAAGACCTACGTCCCTCTGACGGACGAGACGTACGGAGCGATCACGTCAAGAGAGCTCAAGCTCTAACAGAGATGAAAGTTAAAAACTTTAGGAAAACCATGAGTGAAGACAAACGGCCACAGAATCCTAACGATCCACTAACCTCAGGGACAGACCTCACAGCTCGTCTGAAGAGACTCCTATTTTTATTAACACAACTATTTTGCACCTTTTACAGTTTTCAACTCAAATGCAGACATCGCTTGTCGTTTATTGTTGTCTTTTGCATAATTCTTAATAAAAAAGTCTTGTCTGACTCTAATGAGGATGTTGAAACAGATGTGCAACTATGAGCTCTGAGTTCATCTGGATTTATGAATGATGAAGAATGGCACGTTGGTGCGATCAGGTGTTACTCAAGGCTGCCCAGTACATTGATCATGATCCGCCGGTCGATCACAAAGATACGGGTAGATCACATGGCATTAAAAAATAGATGTCAGCCTATCATGTATCCTCACTATGAAATTTGTCACTTGACTGACGTACAGGGCAGCCAGCCTGAGGCCCCGTTTACAGACAACAGCCCTCATTCTCTGAAACTGAAGGTTTTTCAATACAGCTCTTAAAGTAGAGATTTTCAGGGGACCCCCCCCCCCCCCACACACACACACACACACACGTGTGTGAAATGCTCAAGTGTGAAGTGGCACATGCACACTAAAATTGTTCTGCACCAACAACAGATATAATAAATAACAACAGTTATAATAAATGTAACAACTGTTATAACAGTTGTTACATTTATTATAAGTTATAATAATTGTAACAACTGTTATAATGAATAACAGTTATAATAAATGTAACAACTGTTATAAGTTATAATAAATGTAACAACTGTTATAACAGTTGTTACATTTATTATAAGTTATAATAATTGTAACAACTGTTATAATGAATAACAGTTATAATAAATGTAACAACTGTTATAAGTTCTAATAAATGTAACAACTGTTATAATAAGTTATAATTGTAACAACTGTTATAATAAATAAGTTATAATAAACAGTTATAATAAATGTAACATAATAAATAACAGTTATAATAAATAACTGTTATAATAAATAACAAGTTATAATAAATGTAACAACGGTTATAATAAATAAGTTATTTATTATAACTGTTGTTACATTTATTATAACAGTTATAATAAATGTAACAGTTATAATAAATAACAACAGTTATAATAAATAACAGTTATAATAAATAAGTTATAACAAATGTAACAAGTTATCGTAAATGTAACAACAGTTATAATAAATGTAACAACAGTTATAATAAATGTAACAACAGTTATAATAAATGTAACAACAGTTATAATAAATGTAACAACAGTTATAATAAATGTAACAACAGTTATAATAAATGTCAGAGAGCAGAGTGTTTTTGTTCTGCTCACCTTTTTCAGCATGTAGGAGCAAAACTAATAAAATCCAGGCTCCAAAGAGATGTTAGTGGATTCACCAGTTTGGATGAAACTGTCATGCAGACGCTGCATGAGCAATGAATGCAGCCGATTCCGACATCAGGGTTGCCAGATACATTTAAAATGTCTTATTTACCCCCTTGTTTTCTGTGCACATGTTCAACAAACACGACACACAGCTCATCTTAGAATATCTTCAGCACATATGACAGTTCAGGTCAAAATACTATCATTTTAAAGCCACTGTACTATAGTTTATAATTTTTTATCTGGCAACCTGACTGACATGGAAACTATTGCATTTTCATGTAAACCTGCTTTTTGTTTCTTACCACAATAAACATTGAAAAACACTTGACATTTCCAGAGGATGTTCTGTGTAAACGGGGCCTTATAGCAAGTAGATCACTTCGACTTGGTCATTTTAAAAGAAGCTCACATGATGGAAAAAGTGTGGACACCCCAGCTGTAGGAGCTGCTTTTTGCAAACTGGAGCTGAACAAACGCTGTTAGAGGAAACAAAAACCAGGTTTATTTTTTTCAACAGTCTAAAGAAGATCAGAAGCTTCTTTTGGACTTAGCTTGAAGGTGATTTGTGAAGAAAAGGATGTTTAAAGTTCACAGAAAATATTAGGGGAGATCATTTTTACAGAGTCTGATAACAACTGTTAACCCCCCCGGAATAAAAAGATCTGGAACAATTTGCTCAAGAATTACCCAGAACTGTAATAACAACTTTCAAAGTGCTGACTCGTTATTTAAAGCAAAAACTATGAATTACTCTAAAAAGTTACTTTGCGTATTTTAGAGAGGAAGAATTGTAATTTTATGTTCATTAAAGCATTAAAATAAAAACTACTGAATAGTTGCTGTGTGGAAAATAATCCCCTCCATGGATTAAAATCAGCCACAACGTGAGGCCAAAGCCTCGACATTAAACGCTGTAGGTGTCTTAAAGGCCAGGCTGATTCTGGCAGATCCTGATCACCACTCCATGGTGAGTTCAGGTGACTTCCATCTGGACGCAGATATCTGCTGCCCAGATGTAGAACAGACTGAAAGACTCATTTGCTTCTCAACGAACAACGATGATCTCTGTTCTGTTAATGTCTCAGTGTGTGGATGCTTTGTGTGCCTGACTGAAACTAACTGCAAGATTCTTGAAGTCAAGCACGAGAAAACCTGGAGCAAAACAATAAAAAACACTTGAATCCAACGTTTACTTTATAAATGAATTTATTTTGTAATACAGTGGTATACTTAGAAATGTGCTGCAAAGAAAAAAAATCTGAACCAAAGTAAAACCAAATAAATAAAAAGAACGTCAGCCACACGGGAACGTAAACTAGTGTTGGGTTGAAGCCGTGTTATCATATCAAAAGAAAAATAGTACTGATGTGCCATAATAAATTGTCTATTAGTACAAAAATACATTTCAGGGCACACAATACAGCATCCAGTATCACAAATAAAAGAAGGGGCCACTCTTCACAGCGGCCCCCCTCAAGTACACCTTTTTAAAATCAGTTAAACCAAGCACTTCTCTAGTTTGTAAATAAGAATAAAAAGTTTTCTGACAGGTAGAAATGCCTTAAGTCGTGTTTCTGTTTGTGTGTGAATGTTGGTAGAAAAGTCGGACTTATTACTGCTTATGTCAGTTCCAAGGCTCAGGGGTATAACCAGAATACAAACATAACCAATGTAACCACTTTGTCTTTTTTTAAACAAACATTTTTCTCTTTTGTACAAAATAACAAAGATGTAGAAAAGTTCATTTACAGAGAACCAAGGCCATATGCTAGCAGTATGTACAGCCACGATTTGAACGTCTTCTAGCTGTTTGTGTCGTTTCCTCACACTTCAGATGCATAGCAGTAAAACAAAGCAAACCGGTTGTTCGTCAGCCCCAATTTATCCTCGTGTGCTAAACCCCCCCCGAGTTCACTGGTGGTGAGAAAAATATGCAGAGACGACCTTTTCCTTCTCGTGGTGATGGTTACAACTCAAGGATCCCATGTTTGAAGGTTGGACTGAAACGTTAATATGCAGATAAGGCATCACTGCTTGCAGTGTACGATGGGGGTGTCATGTTGAACTTAGTAGAAGCAGGCGTCTGGACCTGAGTCGTAGCACATGCATAGATCTCTAGACAGCAGGAGTTTGTAAAAGTCTATATTTATCTACGAGAAAACTTCTCTACAAAACAGTAGTTTGACCCGAGAGCGCTCCCTCTGATGCTAATACTTAACGTCGGTATTTTCTACTCGTTTTTTTACGACGCCTGCGTTTTCCTTCATGAAGCGGACTCGGGGAGTCCTCGGAGATCCTTCATGGAGTCAAACGCCTGAGCGCCGACCTCGCAAACACACGTTTCCTTGTTTGTGAGCTTCGTCGTTGTTTTTCTTCTACGGTACACAAAAATCTCATTGCAATATTTAATGTTTCCAAAAGTATTATTACCCCCCACCCCCCTCCTTTTTTCACCTCTTGCGCTGCTTTTATCTTTTACAAAATTAGCTAAAAATGTCAAAATGAGATCATCCATGTGGTCACTGGTCATGCAGCCCAACTTCAGTCCTTTTGTTTCAATGATCTGTTTTAATGTTTCTTTTTATTGTTATTTTTCTTTTTTGCAAGCCTTGAAAGCACCGAAAACAAACAACTAAAAAACGTGGAACAAATCGGAGAACAGCCTCGTGACCGCCGGACTCCTCACACCGTGTGTGTGTGTGTGTGTGTGTGTGTGAGAGAAAGTGTGTTTCCTCTTGTTTTTCTTGCTTGTTAAAGTTTTGGGCACAGTAAACAACGTGAGAGGATGGAGTTCATACTTCGTGGAGCGGTGCGCACCTCGCCGCAGTGCGGGGGGGAGCAGCGGGAGAGGGGGGTGAAGGGGCCCCCCCACGTTTATCACATTCAGTAACAGACCAGCTGTCGCCCTCTTCAGAAGTGGTCGATGAGCACAGACACGCAGTTTGCACCCACCAGGTAGTTTGGGTCTCCAGGGAGGGATTTGTTCTGCCAGGTTTTAGGGTCACCTGCAGGAAACAGAAGAGACGAGTGTCTGAGAACACGAACGCATCGTTTCACACTTTATCATGAATTCTTGTCAGCGACAACCAGAGTTTGATGCAGTTTGATGGGAGACTGCAACGGAGCCAAGATTCAACGTGTCTGCTGCTTCCTTACACACAGAACTTTACTAAATGGCTTTCTATGTGAATGGTTCTGTAACGTGTCCTGAGACAACTTGGTTGTGAGTTGGTGCTATATAAATAAACTGATTGAATTGATGCCTTTACATATTTGAGCACAAACTGAGTTTGAGGCATAATAAAGAACAAACTAACTCAAACATGGGGAGGAGAGATGTTTCTGATGCTGATGAACGTTTCAGAACCAGCTCCACACGACTCAGGTATATATGATAGAGTCATTACTGGACTCCCAACATGAAACGATCGATCCGAGAGCCAAGTGTGTGATTGTCCGAGACGTCTCGAAGCTACACAAGGAAACTTGTGTGTTCTTTGGTCCGTTGGCCGGTGTTACCGTGCACAGCTTCAGAGCTGCAACAGAACCCTGAACAAGAACGCTGTTCGCTGCAACAACGAAGCGCTGCAGCCCGTTAGTGCTTCGTTGAAGGTCATGACTGGAAACAGGTCAGGCACCGTTCTCTGTGTTAGAAAGTCACCAAGTGAAAACCACAACTTTGTTCTGCTCCTACAGTTTAAATGGCTAAAAACAAGATCAATAATCATTAATGCACAATATGAGATATTATTCAGGCAGGAGTATTAAAAGTATTTCCATTCTTGTTTTTAAATAAAAGCAAATAAACCTGTTTTAATATATTCCTTTAAATGCTGAAATATTGTAGATTACAGTGGGGGGAACCAGACCTGA